AGGTGCATAGATGACGTCATTATAACAAACATTTCCCAGAATATTTTCAGAATTTACATAATATTTTACGTGACTGGGCGAAAGATAAGGTATAAAAAAAGTCTTCTCGAGACTGTGAACAGGTACGAGAAGCAGGAACAAGAAAGAAAAAGTCGTTTCTTTTTTAGAAATTGACTCTCAGTCCGCAGTCGAGGGAGACTAAACCGAACACAAAATTAGTATTAAAATTATTTCAAGGTAGGAAACCATTGCTTTGTCTCAAATCTAACAAACCCAATAAGCAAAATGCTTATGAGATCAATTTATTTAAACAATTCAACTTTTTAAGCCTCAAAATAGTTGTTTACGCAGATTGGTGTCAGAAAAAAAAAAACATATCCCATACAGAGAAAATTGAACCCCTGACGCATTTCTAGGATTCACCCTGAATCATTTTCTAGAACCTTAGATTAAGTTAATCCTTAAAACTCTTGGATGACTCAGCCGTTCGTTCACGTTTGTTGAAGATATTTTTCAGTACCTTTTGCTATAGTTACCTCTAGCCTGCAAAAGATACTTAGTTTACTGCTGATAAGATCTTGCAACAAAATATCAAGGTAAAGTGTAAAACCCCTATCTAAGCCTTATACCCAAGGTAATCCCTCTTAAGTTATTTTTAGACATGATACCGAGTTCTTCCGCGGATGTTACTCACGCGTTGCGTGAGTAAGACGTGGAGGATACAATTAGACCAAAAAATGGTGAACCACGCGTCCTGAAACAAAAATCTCCAAGCTCGTTTGCAGTCTTAACTACACAATCACAGCGGAGGAAAAATTGTTTTGCGGAGGTAGTTCTAGCGAGAACGACGAATTTCTGGGGTTCAGTCCGGTCATAAAACTAAAAGGTTGAGATAGCTCTCGCGAAAGTTACCTTGACGCCGGCAGAATTAAACCTTACTTTAGGTATAAGGGTTATACGGGGTATTAACCCAAGCCTGACCTTGTTTTGTATCTTGAAATAAATTCCCTAACGTTTTCTTCCAGTCTTAGCAGGTTTAAAGACTACTGTTTTAAGGGCAAGCTGAGTTAGAAGCCTGAACAAGACGAGCCAAGAATCCATTCTTATTTTGAAGCAAAACTTCAGGTTTGTCAAACTCAACCACTCGTCCCTGCTCCATAACCAACACTTTATCATAGTCCATGATGCTGTTCAAGCGATGAGCGATGGTTACTACAGTGGAATCTTTAAATCTGCTGCGTATAACTTCTTGAATCAGNCGGATTCTCCCCTTCCCTCTCATGTTTAGATGAGGCTATTTAAATACAGAAAAAAGTATTCTACTGCTTGTGATCTAATTGTCAAACAATGTACCTCATGTAAAATAACTAGGAGTCTTTTACAAGGACTGCTGTTACAATATATTTTCGGATTCTCGATCGACTATCGATCCTGCTTGCAGTTATGTTATGATGCATTACTAATGCAAATGCCGGTATCCCACGTACATAAACGTACTTTCCGTACATCTACAACGCGCCGCATGATTGCTATGAGTCCTCCTCAAACTCCTCCTTACTGTCCCCCGATCCACAACTGAATTGTGGACTTTGGACTGGAAGTGCAACGAAAGTTCGGATTGATATCGCGATAATTACCAAAGTGATCTTCGCTGTCGACCACATCGCCCCTGTGTTTCCATAGAATTCGCAAAACTTTTTGTAACTGTCCGTGTGCAGGGAGTGTATGTGTTCCTTATTTCACAGCGGTGCAGTGCATAAGACACATTCGTAACCCTGGATGTTTAGAATCTTGAATTGATAGCACTTGCCTGAGATCGGTACTGGGATATTTATTATATCGAAATTTGCCAGCGAAGTTCGCATGTAATCTCGGTACACAACCCCGTCTGTCTCGTAGCGGCAAGTTGCTCGCCAGTGGGTTGACTGTTTTGCAAGCCATTGAAGATATGTTGGACGGAACAAGTACGCCTACCAGTTGTACATTTCACCGCTGACAGCATTTGAGTCAGTGTAGTCCGAAAAGACAACGCCTTAGAACGGAATAAAACAATCGAAATCGTGAGTTTGGAAGCATGATTTTAAGATACCATTTCGCCGCGTGGAAGATCCTTGTTTTCTCTACTCAAGCTTTCCTTGCGTTTTGACGTTCCTATCTTTTTCTCCCCTCCTCACTTATTTTCGTACTCGGTATATCATCAGTTTCTGCGAGCAAACGTTAATTAGGGAGATTAAAAGGCAGAAGTCAGGTAAGCTAAGATAAAGTACAGCACTACACTACTCCTTACTTTTATCGTAATTTACCGTAGAATTCCGAAAGTGCGAAATCCCCCGTTACTTTTGCATTTAGCAGGTAAAAGGAGCCGCTACTTTCGGGTAGCCGTTACTTTCGGGTAGCCCTTACTTACGGGTAGCCGTAACTTTCGGGTGGTAAAAAACGTTTGTACGGTAACAGTCGTTTCAGACAAAGCGGACACGTAACACATGAAATTAAAAGTTTCGTTTATGTATCTTCTAGCTACCCACATAACCAAAGGGGGCTGTATAAGCAAAGAAGACCCTAAACGTTGGTACTGTGGGCCGAAAGTATAATGGTCGCAATAAATCGCTACTAGACAAATACCAGCAGCTTATAAATCATAGTTTCAAGAAGTTAAGTGACTTTATCAAGACATGACGCTTCGCTTCTGTGAATCTGATAAAGAAGTCTTTATGCACTGGTTTTTAATACAACAATTATTTTAACATCTTTTAAAACGCTGAAAGATGGATTCGGCTAACGTGTTTACATCCTTGTTCCCACCCAATTCAGACCGCATGGTGATCCATTTGGGTCGTTTCAATTAAGCAACTTGTCCCACGCAACTGATTGCATGCATGTGGGAGTATGTTCTAACAGAACATTGTGACTTCCCGAACGAAGCATCACATGACCTGAAATGGGTGGCAACAAGGGTGGAAAAATGTCGGCTGAATCCGTCTATTAGGAATAGCATAAATTCAACCAAAAACTTTGCCTTTTTTGAGAGAAAGTGTTTGACCACAGCTTTTAAAACGTCGTAACCAGGCTAACAAAACTGTGGTATACGGTGTCCCCAGCACCACAGAGGCGTAACCGAACTGTTTACAAAGCACCTGTATAAGTGCCACAATAAAAGTGTGAATTTTTAAGAGGCTAGTGTTATATCATGTTCATTAGTGCCTCGAGGGGGCTATGACATAGCGCGCGCCAATCCCAACTTATTCGCCGGGACGAGTTGCATGAAAGCGAGGCTAGTTGGGCCTCGGTGTTTTGTTTTGATAATGCTTCCCCAGAAAAGTCTTGCTTCGTCGACGATCTGGCCTGTTTTATTTCGCTATGCCTGCGAGTTTTTGTGTTCCTGAATGCCACCAAAAGGGATAGAAATCGTCCAACGTTCGCCTCTAAGGGAAAATAGTGGACCCATGCAGTTCGTTGAGACGAAGGAATTGAGTTCACTATCGCCGAGGGAAGTGAAGTTTGTTCGCTACAATTTCAGGTTGGAAGATCTTAGAAAATCGTTTAAATGACGAGCTGATGTGGTCTCTGGTGGTGTTCCAACACGATTTTCATGGCCAGCACCTCCCCACAGTAAAGAAAAGCTTCTCTTGAGGGACATCCTCGGTCTCAAAGAAGTTGTCTAAGACCGAATCGCACGAAACAAATATTGCGGTGGAATCACCAAGTGAATGAACTTCAACTGCCCCCGTCGTCGAAACCAGCGAAAACATTGAGCCAAATGACAACGACTAGGAGCTAAATGCGGTCGGTGACACATTTTCTAAGATCTTCTAGCCTGACATCTAGCAAACAAACTTTTATAGTTCCCTCGGCGATCATGAACTCCTTTCCTTCGTCTGTTTTCCCCTCAGAGGCGAACGGGGAAACGAAAACAAAACTTTCTCTCCCGCGGAAGACTTCACTCCCTTCTGGTGGCATTCAGGAACACAAAAACTCGTAGGCATAGTGAAATAAAACAGACCAGATCGTCGACGAAGCAAGACTTTTCTGGAACAAAACACCGAGGCCCAACTAGCCTCACTTTCATGCAACTCATCCCGGGCGATGACCGAGTGGTCCGCCATATTTGCAAGGGTGTCTAATATACGAAATCTCATATACGCAAGGCCGTGCGTATATAAGATGACGTGTGCAGTTTCAATTTAGCTGCAGAATTTCCGTCGTTTAGAGCAAGTTTCTTTTGTTTTAGTTTCGGCGATGTGAAGATTTTTCTGAGCAATCCAAACCCTACTTCGAGCTTTAGACTTTTGCCAAGCTAAGATATTTACTTAAACTTGAGTATTTTGACTTTGTTTGTTCACATTTTCATTGAGTATTTTTGACTTTGTTTGCCTACATTTTCATTACAATTAATTCCACGAAGCGAATTTTTCATTGACAATTTTAGAAACAAGGATAAGCGTTTTTGATAAAACTGTGCTTAACTGAGTGTGGCGTGTTGGGATCCTAATGACCTTTGTTTTCCTTCACCGTGCGACGTGAGAACTTTGTAGTCAATCACAAACAAAACATGTTTAAGCGCCCAAGTTGTTGTTGTCATGTTATAAAAGAATTGGTTCATGCTTTTAGCTGTGCATGTATCGAGTTATTGATGCACTTGGGAGGTTTGGAGAGCACTCAAGAAGCTAGAGTTGCTCCATGCTCTTACGCTTCTTTCGTGCTCTCCAAACTTCCCGCGTGTATCCATAACTCGATATACGCACGCTAAGCATGAACCAATTTTTTATTCATGTCTTATGTAATAAGTCAAATTATTCTAGCATTTTGATTGGTTCTCATCTATGATCTATTAGAGGACAGGTGCATAGATGACGTCATTATAACAAACATTTCCCAGAATAATTTCAGAATTTACATAATATTTTACGTGACTGGGCGAAAGATAAGGTATAAAAAAAGTCTTCTCGAGACTGTGAACAGGTACGAGAAGCAGGAACAAGAAAGAAAAAGTCGTTTCTTTTTTAGAAATTGACTCTCAGTCCGCAGTCGAGGGAGACTAAACCGAACACAAAATTAGTATTAAAATTATTTCAAGGTAGGAAACCATTGCTTTGTCTCAAATCTAACAAACCCAATAAGCAAAATGCTTATGAGATCAATTTATTTAAACAATTCAACTTTTTAAGCCTCAAAATAGTTGTTTACGCAGATTGGTGTCAGAAAAAAAAAAACATATCCCATACAGAGAAAATTGAACCCCTGACGCATTTCTAGGATTCACCCTGAATCATTTTCTAGAACCTTAGATTAAGTTAATCCTTAAAACTCTTGGATGACTCAGCCGTTCGTTCACGTTTGTTGAAGATATTTTTCAGTACCTTTTGCTATAGTTACCTCTAGCCTGCAAAAGATACTTAGTTTACTGCTGATAAGATCTTGCAACAAAATATCAAGGTAAAGTGTAAAACCCCTATCTAAGCCTTATACCCAAGGTAATCCCTCTTAAGTTATTTTTAGACATGATACCGAGTTCTTCCGCGGATGTTACTCACGCGTTGCGTGAGTAAGACGTGGAGGATACAATTAGACCAAAAAATGGTGAACCACGCGTCCTGAAACAAAAATCTCCAAGCTCGTTTGCAGTCTTAACTACACAATCACAGCGGAGGAAAAATTGTTTTGCGGAGGTAGTTCTAGCGAGAACGACGAATTTCTGGGGTTCAGTCCGGTCATAAAACTAAAAGGTTGAGATAGCTCTCGCGAAAGTTACCTTGACGCCGGCAGAATTAAACCTTACTTTAGGTATAAGGGTTATACGGGGTATTAACCCAAGCCTGACCTTGTTTTGTATCTTGAAATAAATTCCCTAACGTTTTCTTCCAGTCTTAGCAGGTTTAAAGACTACTGTTTTAAGGGCAAGCTGAGTTAGAAGCCTGAACAAGACGAGCCAAGAATCCATTCTTATTTTGAAGCAAAACTTCAGGTTTGTCAAACTCAACCACTCGTCCCTGCTCCATAACCAACACTTTATCATAGTCCATGATGGTGTTCAAGCGATGAGCGATGGTTACTACTGTGGAATCTTTAAATCTGTTGCGTATAACTTCTTGAATCAGTCTGTCTGTCTTGAAATCCACATTAGCAGTGGCTTCGTCCAGAATGATGATCTTACTTCTTTGTAACAGCGCACGCGCTAAACAGACCAATTGGCGCTCTCCGACACTGAAGTTGCTCCCAGACTCTCTCAACTTGTAATCCAGCTGGTCAGGTAATTGTTGCACCAGGGTCTTCAACTGCACATCTTCCAAAGCACGCCACAAATCATGATCTTGATACAAAGAGAAAGGGTCTAGGTTCTTCCTGAGGCTGCCGCTAAAGAGGACAGGATCCTGGGTTATTACGGCCATGGACCTGCGAGACGCCTGAAGATTGAGATCCTTGATGTTCACACCACCTATAATGACCTGTACAGTGAATGAAGAAATGTGAATCAGGATGAGCTGTGGCTGATTGACTTAGCTATATTTATTCTTATCAGGCAAGGCAGTCCTCAGGTAAATCTGAGCGTTCTGATTGGCTCTTCCTTGGTAAGGCCGGAGTTTGCAATACGGACCGTTTCTATGGAAAAGGTCATATGACGTATATTTTTATTTTTGAAGGTTTTCGGGGTGTCCGGCTTGGGTGCATGTAGGATATTGATGTATTGTTTTTCTCTTTTGTTTTAATCTTGATGTGTTAATTAAAAGATACCCTATTGGTGTTTCATGATTTCGCGGGTCGCAAATTTCGTGACTTTCGCGATTGTAAATATAATCAATCGCGAAATTAAATTAAGAATTAAGACCCGCAAATAAAAATCCTCTCGAAATTTAAACACGCGAAAGAACAGAAAAAAGACGGAAAAAAAAAGAAAAAAATGATTAACGTGTAATAACAACAATGTACACAGGATATGTATCAACAAATACACAAACTATTAACTGGTTTTACTGGTAAGTTCCATTCTGTATCTTCTGTTTTGAAATAAAGTTAATTTGCAAAGATGGAATAGATAATCTAGCTATCATCTTCATCTGAATCGTTAGATTCTTGCAAATTTCTTAGAATATCTTTCTTGCAGCCGTCAAAATTGCCATTTATTGATTCCTTGTAGTTCTCATTCACAAGTTTCTTGTAACTTTCCTACACTGAAATGTTTTGGGAGGTGGAGTCTAGTCCGATGCAAACAGTGACGACGATTCCAAGGCCACCCTGTTCGAGTGGGGATCGTCGATGCTTGGAATCAATTACCGTGACTTTAACGTTCCCGCCTCGTCAAATAAGAAAACGCGTGCATCTTAAAAATGCGTTTTGCTTGTTCCAGTTTATCTAGAAATTTTAAAAAGTTCAGGCTTTTGAAAAATAAAATGAATCGCGAAATTAAATGCCCTTTTTTCATTTGTGCCTATTGAAATCGCGAAAATAAAACCCCGCGAAATACGGTCTCGCAAAATTAAGCACCAATAAGGTATCTTGGTCCTGGCTGGTAGGCCTTTAGGAGGCTTTAACCTTCAATTCAATTAAATTCTTTCAATTCGATTCAATTCTTTCGATTCAATTCAATTCAATTCCTTCAACAAGTTAATCCTAAAACAGTGAAAAAACTAGACCAGGAAAAACCTAGTCTCATAACCTTTGAATGTGTTCGGTTTTGTAGTGAAAGCAAAATACACAATTCGACAAACTGCTGTTTTATTAAAAGGAACTTTTCTGATTGATGTTCGATTATCTACCATGCGACGTTTAGAATGACTCTGCCCCCACAAAATTTGTCTATGTATCGAGAAATGGTCATTGAAACAGTAGAAATTACCAAAAAAGGTTTGGTCAGCATATTATCTGAGAACCTTTTTCAGCGAAAACTATAAACCTCGTTCCCAGGCTCTCTCTCCTCTTCCCTTATCGTAGGGAGAAAAACACTGGTTGCGGCAGGCCACGTGACCACCCAGAATCTGCAGGCATGGGTGATAAAAACATCTGTTGGGCGGGAGGGTTGGCAGAGTGTTTTGACTGTTGCTGTGACAAACTTTGTGGGTTTCAAAACCTTGGCCAGTCGCGAAAAACTTCCCGCCTTATCGGAGTTCGAAGACGAATTTTGCCGATGGAAAATGCCACATTATTTGTGTCGTCTCCAAAATATAGAGAACTTTCGTTCAAAAAGAAATTTGGCAGCCGAATGGAGCACAAACTTTTTGACCGTTAGCACATGTAAAACGTCACGTACCGAATCGAAGTGAAACCAGTGGATCAATCTCCTGAATCTTTGAATTCGGAGGCAATTTATTTTCTTCTTTGTGCGGTATTTTGGATGTTAAAAAGGTATTTCTGTCACACGGTCGATTAGCTGTCTATGCTGACTTTCATTTGATTTACAGCAATGTAAAATGATTTATAGTTTTGTTGACATAAGCCCGTACTTATATTTCATCTGCATCAGGTTTATGTAAGTTTATATATTAGACAGATGTTTAAACACTGTGCCTTGGCATAATCAATCATTATATTTTGCAATATGGCATATAAAATATCGTTTTATATAGTGAACAGTGTGCTGCAAGTTTAATTCAGACAAAATAAAACAGCGAAGCAGGTTTACTTCTTAGTAATTCGACCGGCTGAAAATATACAAATATATTTCGTTTGACCTGTGTGAAGCTTAGAATAGGACTGGACAATTTCAAAGGTATATTTGCCCTTGTGTGGTTAATATAGCGATGACCAGCGATCGCCTTTCTTTCACTTCAGTTGAGATCCACAAAATCATTCGATGACTCTACCCGGGTGGAAAAGTTCATGTCACAGGTAATCACGTGACCAGCCGCAACGAGGGTCTTTCTCCTAACAACAAGGGAAGAAGAGAGAGAGCTTGGGAACGAGATTGGAAAATTATTTGAAATTCCCTACTGATACGTTCTGTAGTGCTAAATGTCACGTGATGTCAAATAAACTGACTTTAAAATAGCTTAAGACAGTAAAAGTCAACAGAACAATTAGCATCGTGTAATAAATAATAGGTTATTACACCTTATTATATAGCTGGCTCCGCAAGAGGGCAAGATGAATCAAATACTGCGCTGTGATTGGCTACCCGAGCGGGCAAGATGGAGCTTTCTTGCCCGCTCGGGACTACCCGCCGTGTCCCGCAAGAAAAATTTTCCCGAATGCAATATAATAAATCATTTATTGACCAAGCTTCTTCGGCCAAGATGGCTGGATATTGGCCTCGTTCTTTTTTGCGAGTTTATGGACCTCGACTCCGTTTCGGTCCATAAACTCGCAAAAAACGAACTTGGCCAATATCCAGCCATCTTGACCTCACACTTGGTCAATAACCCATATGTATTGACAATTATTCCTCCTAACAATAAGAGAGCCAACTATCAAAATTACACTCGAAGTAACATTGTTTTTTATATATAAGTACCTCTCCTTCAGGTTCTGGCATTCGGAACAAAGCTGTCACTAAAGATGATTTACCAGCTCCAGTGCGACCTGCAACGCCAACTTTCTCCTTATCAGCGATACAGACGCTTATGTTGTTCAAAATTGTCGGCGCGCCTTTCAAATAGGTCAATGACAAGTCACGTAATATCAAGCTGCCCGTTGTCGGCCACTCTTCAGGTGGAAGGACTTCAGTGTTGTACCCAGGCTCCGGATCAATTTCGGTGTATGTGAACACCCTCTCTACTGAGGTCATGTAACTTTCTGTTTCCGAAGCCACACGGATGCCATATTGCGAGGCTTCTAAAGTCTCGGCTGCAAAGGTGAGAGCCATACCTGCCAAAGCTAAAAACAAAAGCGAAGGCTTTCTCTTTTGCTTTATTTTATACTACCATACACTGTATGCAATGAGAATGCGTGATGTCCAATTTGAGAGAGATCAAACGGAAAAATTCTGAAGGATGATGTTTGGTTCTAGCTTGACTTATTGTTTTATATTTCACAAGGCTCCTGTAGGATCAGATGAATCCAAGGAAAAGCCTCTTGTCGTCGTGGAACTGTATTCTATTTCAGACTGGAATTTGTGCTGGAATGGAAAGTTCCCAGTGACAAGTACTTACCAGGACTCTGCGTTGCTAACAAAGCTCCAGCTGACACGGAAGTCACAAGAAAGTTACTCACTAGGTTTCCTCTAAACGCGAGCCAAACTATAGAAGCCTTCAATAATGCCAGGGCTGCTGTGTTTCTGTCTTGATATCTCCAAAGAAATTTAAGAAAAGCAGATTGGAAATTCATCAAGTTTGCCACGTCGAAACGGACTTTTTACGCTACAATGGTCGGTCAGAAATCTGCGTATGAGTAAACGCAGTACAGACGCATCATTCCGATAAAAGGAATCCTGGTTGGTGTTTTCTGTCAGTGCTGATCTTCACTCTTTTGTCAAATATAAAGGTTGCTCACCATCTGAAACTTTCTTCATCCTTGTTAAAAACCCTACTGAGGGATATATAATCTGCTCTCGAACCCCAGCACTTCCTTTAAGGTAAACATGTAACAATTTCAGTATATACTTACTTGTAAAATTTCTGAAGGAAATCTTCCTGCATCTCTGATGATCGAATTATCTCCAATCCTGCCAAGCTATCAGCAATAAGGGAATACACTGGACTGCATGTTATCGCTTCAAGTCTCCTAATCTCTCGGGCGGATCTCAAGTAATACTTAGCCAAGTAAATAAACAAAAGCGTCAGCGGAGTACAAGTGATAAAAAGCCACACATTTGCTACTGCTGAAAGTATGGTAGCACTGAAAAAGTATAGACACAACTGAATGGCAAAAAGGAATTCTCCTGGAAGGATATCGTCCATGCACCCAACATCTTTAGAGAAACGGTTTAAGATGCGACCTGCCGGATTAGTGTCAAAGAATAGCACTGGTGCTTTCATAACTGCTTTTGTCATCTGGTCATGGAGGTTTTCTGAAGCTTTTAGAGCAGCGAGGTAGAAACAGAACGAGGATATTAGCGTAAGAAGCAAGGAGCCCGTAACAATGGATCCGTACACCAAAAGCGTTGTGTAACTCTTCTGTTGTCCAAATGGCATCTCAGTCATCCGAGAGAGCCACCAGAAGGGCGCTATCAAGAACACTGAAATAAAAAGAAAAGTATGTGTATTATCAAGTTTTGATTTTGGACACAAAAAAATGACAAAATTCATTTAGAGCGTAGGGCCAAGACTCGGAAACAAAGAGGTGCGGAAAAAATGCTATTAACAGGACCAAAAGAACATCTAAACGACGTATCTTCCGTTAGGGACTTTGGAAGGATGGGGCGACGGCTAAGTGTTTCCAAGATTAGTTTTAAACTTAAAACAACCTCTGAATGAGATGCACGTTATTTATAAAAGGATTAAATAGGACAAAACGTTAAATTCCAGTTACACCAGCAGAGAGAAAGCTTCTTCGTTCAAAAGAGGAAAGTCCAATCGATGACAGTCCATGTACACTTTGGATGGTTCAACCACCGAACTATGGGCGTATCGCTCAGCTCTGAGATGATAGAGTCGTGCATGTGTGAGCGTAGATCTCTCTATGACTTTACTCTTGTACAGTTGTTTGGTGACTTAGAATTTCTCTTTTTCGAACAATTGAATTTGACAGCTTCCCTCTATTTATTAACATTATTGAAGTCGCTATTCCACCTTACCGCAAAACTATCAACCATTTACTCGATAAATACTGGAATTAATAGACGTAGAAAACCTTACATTTTTGAGAAATCTTTGAAAGGTATTCCCGAGTATTCCCGCTTAAAGTGGTGTGTTCAAATTTTCCAGTGCATTTTGAGATTGTCTATTTTCGTTCCAACTTCTCTCGGTAGAAGAGGCCACCCACACTGTGGTACTAGACTTTTATAACCTTGACGTGCAGAGGGAATTACATCCACTAAAAATTACTGCTTACCCTGAACAATTGCGAAGAAAACCATAAGACTGATTATCAAAATCGTTGGGAGTGCAGCTCTTAAGTATTTCCAGTACAACCACCACTTAACGGTTCCAACCATTCTGTCCTCCGCTTCATCTTCCAGATCTACCCTATCATGGTGTTCTCCAGCGGAATTCATCGATTTCAAGGTATCTTCA